CCTCTTCTTGCCCTTGAACGTGGCCCTTGAACATGGCTCAGAAACTCCAGAAGGCAGATTGAGCTTTTTCTATAGTCCTCAAGGCCTCCATTGGGCACACCTGGATACCATTTGCTGGATCTGCCCTAGAAGGGACCTCCAGGATGAGGTGGCCCACTCACCTTCCTGTATGAGGAGTCCAAATCTTTGACCTCTTTGCTTTGAGCTTTGCCATTCTTCCCATGTAGGAAGTGAGCACTTGACGTTGCTACTGAGTTGTGTATTGAGCAGTAAAAATGACCAGAAACGCATTTAACTTCTTGGTTGGTTTTTAATTTTCTCCTGTCTTTAGGGCCTGCAAGTGGATGATGAAATTGTGGAGTTTGGCTCTGTGAACACCCAAAACTTCCAGTCTCTGCAGAATGTTGGCAGCGTGGTGCAGCATAGCGAGGGGGTGAGTTAGGTGTTCCCTGGTGTCTGGGGCCTCACAAGCCTCAGAGGCATGTTGCTCACAGTTAGGGCTGGGGAAAGGAAGTCCAAGAGGAGGGTACCGAAGATTGAGGGTCGGGTAGGGATGTTTCCAAGTCTGAAGATGGCACAGCTTGCTCAAGTGATGGACCATTAATTCCATCACTAGGGCTACACTCCCTAAATGACACCCTTCTAAAGCCGAGTCCCCTACTCTTATCACACCGGGGCTAGGCTTCCAGCATTAGAATTTTCTGGAGGGAGCCAGGCACTGGTGTCACATGCCTTTTATCCCAGCACTCTGGAGGCAGGGGGCATGCAGATCTCTGTGAATTCGAGGCCAGCCTGGTCTACAGAGTGAGTTCCAGGACAGCCAGGATTATTTTTACAGAGAAACCCTGTCTCAAAAAAAAAAAAAAAACAAAACAAACAATTTTTTCTGGAGAGAAGCAAACCCTCAGTTCAGCCCATAGCACTGGGCATCTATCTGTCTGGGATTTGATCTTCTACACTGTTTTTTGATTTTGTTTTGTTCTTCTGAGGGGGTGTTGGTGTTGTTGCTGTTTTGAGACAGGGTTTCTCTGTGTAGCCCTGGCTTTCCTGGAACTTACTAATGAAGACCAGGCTGACCTCAAACTCAGAGAGAGCTGCCTGCCTCTGCCTCCTGAGTGCTGGGATTAAAGGTGTGCACCACCACCACCACCACCGCCACCGCCACCGCCACCGCCACCGCCACCACCACCACCACCACCACCACCACTACCACCTATAGTTTGTTTTTTTGTTTTTAAGTATAAATATATGTAATGCATTGTTTTATTACAAAAACAGGGCATATTTAGTTCAGCCATAGGAATGTAGTGAGTTCTTTGTTACAACATGATATTGAAAACAGGATTCAAAGTGAAAGAGACCTAGTACAAGGCCATATGATCTCACTTAATGAAACTGTCTAAATAGCAGATCCATGAAGCAGAGAGATAGGAGATTGGTGGTTGCAGGGCCTGGAGGGACGAGGACAGGGGCTGACTGACTACCGACCGTCTTTTGGATGATGCAAACATTCCAGTTAGATAACGGTACTGGCTCATAACTCTTGAGTATAGGAAACCCACTGAGCCATATACTTCATTATTTGCAAATTGTGTCTCAGTAATAAATATGCCCATTTATCTTACAAACAAAATCACATAGAGCAAAGTCGTTTAAAGTGAAAACCAAAGCCCTATGCCTCTTCCTCCCTTAGTACCTCCCCTGTGTGTGCTCACTTCCAGACTGGGGACTGGAGTCCAGCAGGGAATCAAAGGAGAAAGCCCTTGTATTGAGAGCACATTGTGGGGGCAGACATTAATTCGGTATCCCAGGCATGCAATTTCACACGCTGACAAGTGTTACAAGAGGAAGCACAGGAGGCTTGGAGGAAAGCGGTGGGGTCCTGATTTAGTTTGGGGTTGAAGGAGAGTGTTCTTAAGAACTGAGCCCTGGTGTGTATAGAAGCTGATCAAGTGGGGCGGCCACCCTAGGAGAGCCTTTGGGATGGTTCAAAGGCCACAGGGGCAGGAAGAACAAAGTAGATAAAGGATGTTGGTTGGAAGTTAAAACCAGGAGAATGGAGAGAAGGGCAGGAGGTGGAGCTGGGAGGTGACAAGGTGTCAGGCCACTCAAGGCCAGCTTTGGAGTGCCTCACAGTGATAATTAATTTTTGCCTTTACCTGGGAGCAGCAGGGAGCTGCTGTACCTCCCAAACTGAGGAGAGTTTATCTTAAGAGATTTCACCAGTGCTAGTTTGGGGGTCAGTTCCCAGGGTCCCACATAGGGACCAAGTAGTTAAATACACAAACCAGTGGGGGACATTCTTACTCAAATCACTGTACTTCCTGCCACTGTGTTTTGCCTCCCACCCCTTTGAAATTGTACGCAGCCCTTTAACGCCAGCTCAGGGACCCATACAACTAGGAGCCTGGTGTGATATAATTTGATATTGGGGAAGTGGCATCTCAGTTTTCTGCTTGAGTCCATTGGAGTGTTAAGGAAGCTGAATCGAGAGTGACCTTCTTTGCCTTTCAGAAGCCCCTGAATGTGACAGTGATCCGAAGAGGGGAGAAACACCAGCTCAGACTGACTCCGACGCGCTGGGCAGGAAAAGGACTGCTAGGGTAATGCTTCGGCTTCATCCCTTCTTTCACACCACAGTCTTGACAGAGTGTTCTTAGATGAGGCTGCAGACGAGAGACAGTAAGTCCTCAGGTCATCTAAGAGTCTCTGGTCCTTCCATTACCAGAGCATCAGCTTTAAGAGAAGGACAAGGGCTGGTGAGATGGCTCAGCGGGTAAAGTTACTTTCTGCGAAACCCTGTGATCTGAGTTTGATCCCCAGTATCCACATGGTGGAGAGAAAACTAACTCCTGCAAGTTGTTCATGGCACACACACTCAGATTCTCATATACACAATGAATAAATCAAAAACTACACCTTTGGACTGGGGAAATGGCTCAGCAGTTAAGAGCACTGGCTGCTCTTCCAGAGGAACCAGGTTCAATTCCCAGTACCCACATGACATCTCACAACTGTCTGTAACTCCAGTTCCAGGGAATCTGACTTCCTCACACAGACATACTTGCAGGCAAAACACCAATGCACATAAATAAATCATTAAAAAAAAAAAGACTAATACTTTAAGTCAGGGTTTCTTTGTGTAGCTTTGGAGCCTGCCCTGGAACTAGCTCTGGAGACCAGGCTGGCCTTGAACTCACAGAGATCCGCCTGCCTCTGCCTCTCAAGTGCTGGGATTAAAGGCGTGTGTCACCACCGCCCATTGACAAATACAGTTTTTTAAAAAAGAGAAAGTGTTGACAAAAAGCCCACAAGGCTTGCTTTGCCTGAGGGTCTTGCTAGATGGAGCCACTAAGCTTGAGCCGTGTCTGTTTCCTTTCACAGTTGCAACATTATTCCTCTCCAGAGATGACTGTCCCCCGGGGCCTGCGAGAAAGCTGCTTCAGCCAGGCCCTGCACTTGGGCCTGGTGGGATTTCCTCATTCTCTTCGATCCCTGAAGTGTAAGGATCTGGAAGAGAGCGGGTGAAGCCTGAACATCAAGATGGAGGACATGCTGTGGCCACCGGTGTAATCTGTCTGGATTGAGGCATTATTAAAATCGTGATTTGTGCCTAGCTAAATCTGTGCGAATTAGGCCATAGTCCCATCTGGGGATTCTCTACATTGAGCCAGTGAGTTGAAATGATTCTGGCAGGTAATGATTTGACTTCATTTTCTTTTTTTTTTGAGACCCAGGGTAGCTCTGGCTCTTTTGGAACCCACTGTGTGGACCAGTCTGGCCTTGAGCTGACAAAGATCCTCTTGCCTCTGCATCCTGAGTGTTGGGGCTAGAGGCATGCATCACCATGCCTGGCTAGACCCTGAGGGATGTTTTTATACACGCATAATTTTTACTTAAGTTTTTGAGAATTCCATACCTGCATACCATGTATTTCTCCCCTTCTTAATTCCACCTTCAGTTCCCCACGGATCTGCCCTCATATCCACTTCCCAGCAACCTACAGAGCGCAATTGTGTTGCCCATATACTTATGAATGTGGGGTCTTCCACTGGATGAGTGTAGTCTACCTGCCAGGGGCCTCCAGGCACAGGCACTTGAATGTCCCTCTCTCTCTCTCTCTTTTTTTTTTTTTTTTTTTTTTTTTTTTTTTGAAGCAGGGTCTCATATAGCCCTGTCCAGCCTCAGATTTGCCATGTAGCTGAGGATGATCTTGAACTTCTGGTCCTTCAGCCTCCAACTTCCAAGTGCATATCACCTGCCTAGCTGTTTCCTCTTGTAGGGAGTGGGGTTTGGAGACAGGGTCTCTGAGTTCAGACTGACCTTAAACTTAGACTCTTCCTGCCTCAGTCTCCTAAGTGCTGGCCATCAAACCTGGCTCCATGTATAGGTTTTCTCTTCAGATAAACCTGGTTTTGTAGTTGTAACTGTGACCATTGTACCATCCCATCTGGATTTCTTACGATCCTCAAACCATGCTCAGGAGTTGGGAAGAAAGTTGGGCAAAGCAAACCGGTTCCTGGGCTGAAGTCAAGTGGATTCTTGTGCTGGAAACTGAAGCCTAGAGCTCATACTCTGGGCAAGTGTTCCACCGTGGGGCTACACATCTTCTAGCCCATGACGTCGGCAGCTGGCCAGCATCTCCGCTTGGAGCATACGGTCCTGGGTAGAGAAAGCGCTAGAGTTCCATGCTTCCTCCAGAGTTGATTCTGTGTATCCACCATAGTTCCACAAAGACATTAGCAAAAGTCAGGAAACTTCACAGGTTACCTGGATGATGTTGGCTTCCTCTCTAGTGACCCGCTGGAGAGCGGCAAGCTCTCTTTCCTTCTGTAATAAAAGACCCTGCAGATGGCTCCTGATTTGGCTTTTATAGTTGAGCCTTGGCTACACCCTGGGATCTGCAGCTTGGGAAGTTAGGGTGAACATGTTGATGGATGCTGCTTCCTTCCTTTTGTTTTCTGTCTTTTGAAATTGTAAAAATGGTGTGTGTGACTCCTAGGGACCATTTCCTTCCTTTCTCCATGTGCCCCACTTAACTTTCCCCAGTTGCTACCAGTTTCTGTTCTGAATATATGGCACGTTCAGAGAGGAAGCTCGTGTCCTTGGTTTGGATTGCTCAGGCTGGAGGCTGACAACTCTCTGATAGCACTCCGTACTGGTGTGTGCTTCCTGCCTTGAGTCCTCACACTCAGCTTGAATGCCTCCCTCAAACTGCTTCAGCCAGACAGCCTCATGTATTCCTGTCTTGTAGCCAGACGTGCTGTGTTTACTAGTGTTTGCTGTTTAAATTGTAGGTTATGATTCCAAGTGTTTCCCAGCCTCTTTATAAGTCCCACACTATAATAAACACAGCTTGCACCATTCAGTTCACCCCTTTGAGATCTGCATATGATCACCAGCACTGGGACATGGTGGTGCACTTGTGGGAGGAGTCATTCATATTCTCCTAACGTGGTGGCTGCAGAGTGTTCTGAACCAGGTCCGTTGGCCAGTTTCCTGTAGGCCTTTCTTTGGACAGCTCAGGACAGCCACCTTTGGCCTCTTCTGTGAGTCACTTTGACGTGAATGGCCCTAATGGATTTGACCAAGGTAGGTTTGTAGAAACTCTTTATGATAACAGCAAGGTCGTGCACTCCACATAACTCCAGTCCCACTTAGTTAAATTTCTCTGCATGCTATGTCTCGGGGGGAGTGGGGCATATACACATTTATATGCATACATATCTGCAAGGCCAGGGAATTAGGTTTAGTGCTGAGAGAATTTTATTAAATGCGTCCTACCACTTCTTGCATGGCTTTTTGGAGAGCCATGAACAGATCAGTCTACCTTGTGCTGACAGCAAACTGAAGGAAGGAGCAGTCCACTCAGATCAACCTGGTGAATCAGTGAGCATCCCACTATAACAGTGAGAGCTCCATTGCACTCACTGTTGTACTTTCCCCCCAGTAAAGTCTCATGTAGCCCAGGCTGACTTTGAACTGATTCCTCTGTCTTCATCTCCCTAGTTCTATGTTTGCAGGTATGCTGCCCACACCTGGCCTGGAGAATGCTCCAGCTTCCTCCCCCCACACTTCAGGGTTGTTGGGGTTTTGTTTGTTTTTCTGAGTTTCTTGAGCATGCCCCCGTTTCCTCTACCAGCCAAAATGTCCCAATTTGGAGACAAATTGTAAACATTGCTTCGTTTCCTATTGCCCAACTTTGGGAAAGTCACTACTGACAGTGTTGGGGAAAGCTCTTTCAAAGGGTTGCTCAGGAAAAGGCAAGAGCCGTTTGCCCGGCAGCCGGCAGGGGGCAGGCTGGTCCAGTGGGCCTGCAACCACCATTCTGCTCCCTTTCCGGCCTGGGGCTTGTAGCTATTACCATGGAGACGGAGCTTGGGTGGCAACCGTCACTAGGGAGCGCGGACAGAAGACGCTGGGCCGCTTGGGAATCCCGGAGGCAGAACGACCCAAGGCTTTTGAGGAACAAAGTGGGTGCCCCCTGTAAGTGCAAAGTGGAGGGCACAGCCCCGGTGGGGGTCCTGTCCAGGCAGGGCAGGGTTGTGGGGCCTGGGGCAACCCAGAAAGAGGAAGTGGCGGCGCTTGGACCTGGTGGAAGGGACACACACACCTCTCGGTGCTCTTACACTCCTGTGCTGCCTGGTCGCGGTTTTCCAGGCTAGCACATTGGCACAGTTGACATTGGAAATCATAGAGGCGCTTTTTCAAACAAATTCTAGCTCTGTCTAAGCCATGCCTCTCAGAGCCACAAACTTTTTTGTTTAAAGAAAGATTGGGAGGGTCTAAAACTTACAGTTTTTCTCCTGACTCTACCTCCTGAAGGGATTACAGGTATGGTGGGCCCAGCCCTGCTGCGCCCAAACTCTTGTTTGTTGTAGATGAAAAATGAGAGGAATTAAAATTTTTTAAGATTTATTTTTGTTACACATGGTTGTGAGCCTGTGTTGGAGCTGGGAATCAAACCTATGTTCTCTGGAAAAGCAGCCAGTGTTGTTAACCACTGAACCATCTCTCCAGCCCAGATTACATTTTTAATTTTATTTGTTTACTTGTTTATTGGGGTGGGCAGATACCATGTTTTATTGTGTTGAGGTCACATGATAACCTTTGGGAGTTTGTTTTCTTCACCATGTGAGCCCTTAGGTTGTAAGACTTGGGGTCTCATCTCCCTCCCAGAGGACTTTTAAACTTTCAAGTACTTTGCAAAAGCAGAGTTATTTTTATCCTCATAATACCTGCCCCATCCCTTTTTGCAAGCTCTGGGCTGTCTCTGTAGTGAGCATTTGATGTGTCGCCCCAGTCTTTAAATCATGCTAGAATTTAGGGTTATCATTCTTATTTTTGCATATGAGCAAATTTGACCTCAGAAGGAAAAGGTGACTTGCTTCAGGTCACAGAACAAGGGTGGTGGGCGTGGGAGTGGCGGGAACCTTTGACTGTAAAGCCCACGCTTCAATCACCAGCCGCCCACAGCATTCTGCCCATCACTGGGGGTTTTGCTAAGGTCTGCTGTATGCATTTTGCTGCCTGTGGGAATATGAATTATTTAAAGTAAGTTAGAAGACGCTAAGATCATTCCTAGAAAGATGAGAAGGCCAGGGGTCGATATTTTAAAGATTTTAAGTTTCAAGCTCAGCTTTCCTGAGAAGATAGCATCCTTTTTATTCCCACAGGAAGGAACCAGAGCTGCCACTGCATTTTAATATGTTAACACATTAGGAAGCTGAAGCAGGAAGCAGAGGGGCCTGTTGAGTCTGTGTCAGATTTTTCTAGAGGAAACTACAGAAGAATGTCAGATGCAGAAGAAAGTGTAGAAACAGAAGAAGAGGAGACATACAATCCAAATCATGAAGAGGAAAATCTGCAACAGCGCCTAACTGAAGACACATTATCATTTGAGGAGTCCCAGGAAGAGGAGGGATGGGAAGGGGACTGGATGGAGGGGGAAAAACAGGTAGAAGAAGGAGAAGCAGCGAGAGGAAAGGGAGAGAATGGTGAGGAAGGAGAAGTGAGGGGTGAGGAAGGGGAAGTGAGGGGTGAGGAAGGGGAAGTGAGGGGTGAGGAAGGGGAAGTGAGGGGTGAGGAAGAGGAAAGAGAGGAGGGAAAGGAAAGAGGTGAAGAGGAAAAAGGTGAGGGAAAGGGAATTGAAAAAGAGGGAAGTAAGGAAAAGGGAGGTGAGGAAGAGGAGCATAAAGAGGAATGGTGGGAGGGAAAGGAGGAGGAGATGGAGAAGAGTGGGGAGGGAGAGGAAAAAAGAGAGGTGGTCATAAAAGAAACTGAGAAAACAGTTGGGAAAGCCGGTGAAGAAACAGCAAACAAGTCTAAAACACTGTTCAGCTTAGATGATATTGTCATCAGCTCCGAGTCGTCCATGTCAGCATCTTCACTGGTGAGTCCAAACTGTAACTCACTCACCTACCCATCCGTCCACACTGTAACTCACATACCCATTCATTCAGAAGCATTAGTTGTGTGCTTAGTGTGTGTCAGGCTATGAGGCACAAAACCAAAGTGAGACACATTCCTGAGGCTGGAGACATGACCGGGTCCTTAAGAGCCCTTGCTGTTTTTTTTTTTTCCTGAAGGCTTGAGTTGGGTTCCAAGCACCCACTGTAATTCCAGCTCCAGGGACTCTGATGCCCTCTTCTGAACTCCTTGAGCACCTGTATAAAACACGCGTGTGCGCACACACGTACACACACACACCACATAAACATACTAAAAAAAAAAAAAGAAAGAAAACCACATGCTATGTACAGTAATTGTGAGATGCCAAGGAGGGTGGTTCAGCCCAGTTTGGAGGATGGTAAATGTAAGCTTCCTTGAAGTGTGGACCTGCCTTGGAAGGGCCAATGGATTACCTGAAGGTGAGACATACTTGTCTTGGGACTGAGTCCTGTGGTATAATAGTGGTATGGGTTTCCCACAGTCTGCTCCCTAAAAAAGAACTCAGTACTGGTCCAAGGGCAGGGCTCCTAGTGGTGCTAACAAGGGCCCACTGTGTGCTCTTTGCTGAGTGGACCTATTGGAAGACCAAGAGTTAACCTGAACACAGCCATGATTCATTTCTTTAGTACAAAATACCCCGCACAGGGCTGGAGAGATGGCTCAGCAGTTAAGAGCAATGGCTGCTCTTCCAGAGGTCCTGAGTTCAATTCCCAGAAACCACATGGTGGCTCACAACCATCTATAGTGGGATCTGATGCCGTTTTCTGGTGGTGCGGGCAGACGTGCAGACAGAACTCTGTATACTTAATGAGTTAAAATATGCCAGGCTTCCTTTTGAACCACCTGTTATGAGACTGGCTGACTGGGAATAGAAAAAGACAGTAAATGGGAGAATGTAGCCTTGGGTATTACATGCAGACTCAGGATTTTTTGTTTCTATTTAAAGATTGAAACCTCAGGGAGTAGCAAGTCGTCCTCACACTCAACAAGTCCTGAAGTAAGCGAGATTTTCAGAGATAAGGGTATAAAATTTCAAGTTTCTGAGGCAGCTGCCATCAGATCTGAGGAGGAACAGATCTCTTCTCTGAGGAAGTCATTGAAGGAAGCTGAGGACACTGACCAGAAGGCAGCCCAAGAATGGAGAGACAGAGAACCCAAACAGGAAGTTGCTGAAGCAAGGAATGGTAAAGCAGAGCCTGGAAAATCGTCCTTCCTCACAAGGGAGGAGAGACAGAAATTATCCCAGTCCAAAGAGTCACTGGTGTCCACCTCCACAGAGGACACCTTGTACCAGCAGGAGGAGGGCTCCAAGGTCTATCCTTTGGTGAGTGTCACCGTGTGTCATTTCTGGGCTTGGACAGTAAGTACTATGAGATAGGATATCTGTGCATGTTGGGGAAGTTCCAGGGTATATGTGTCATGTGTGTGCACCCATGTCCATATGAAGGCCAGAGGATAACCGTGGTATCTTCTTCAGCCTCTGTTCACTATTATTAATATTATTATTACTTTTTTTTTGAGACAGGGTTTCTCTGTGTAGCCCTGGCTGTCCTGGAACCACCCATTGGCTTGGAATTTGTATTGTAAAGTAGCTTGAGCTGAAGTAGCTTGAGCTGTCTGGTCACCGAGACCCACCCTCAGCTCCCACCCTACCCACCTCTCTCTGTCTGCACTGGGATTACCAGCAACTCACTTCTGCCATGCCTCGTTAGCTGCATTTTTATTTACAGGGGTCCTAAGGATTTAACTCAGCCCTCTCAGTTGGCATCCCTCCAACCTGGAAAACAGAAAAATGTTTTAAATTAATACTTTTTAGACAAACTTTGTCTTTTAAAGTTCTATCAAAAGCTGGGGGCAGTGGGTGGGGGGAGGCTCCCATGTGTTAGACCTGGAACTTGATGGCAACATCTGGGTTCAATAGCACTGCTCTGCAGGCCGGAAATTCCTGGCATAGCTGGACCATTGAGTTGACTATTTCATGAGGGAGACTCCATCATTGTCTGTCCCCCTCTCTCTTTTTCTTTTCCACCCTCTGTTTCTCTCCTCCCTCTCTTTGTTCTCTCTTATCTTCCTCTCTTCTCAGGCACTACCAATGTCCTTCCTTCCTTTCTACACCTCCTTTTCTGTTTCTGTCTCCACTAGGTGGAGAGCTTTGAGAGCTCCCCAGACCCTTGTCAGAAAGTGACAAATCTCTGGCCTTCCCTAGGAAGCTGTCCTTGCTCTTGCTGACATGCATCCCAGGGAGGTACCATCTGTGAGACACAAAAACACTGTCATTTGCCCAGCAAAGGAAAAGGAAGAAGAGGCCCCTCCCCCACTTCTTTCCCCATCTGCTGCTTTCTGGAAATTGTTTGCTAGGATTCGTTCTTACTTTGTTAGACACCGGGAAAACTCAGGTATCCGGGGTCCCAGGCCACGTTCTCTGTCACCCCAATCACCAGGCGGATTCGAGAGCTTGCTGCAAACTGCACGAGGCTTTATTGTAATTTAACGAGCTAACCCCATGTTAGCTCCTGTCCCTCACCCACCCGCCATGGCAGATGGCTAGCAAAAGACAGCTCGAACCCGCTACGTACAGATCTTGTAGGGCAGCGTAAGGGGAGTGTCTAGGTGTATGCACAGGCTCACGATTGGGGTGCATCCAGGCTCGGAGGGCTTGCCCTGTGGTGATTGGTCAACTGGTTGTTATGGCCCATAGGCCCTCCCAGGGTGGTTGCTATGCTTTGTGTGTCAGGGCTGAGGAGTAGGGCAGAAAGCCCACCCAGGGTTGTAAAGCATAGCGCCACCAGCTAACTTCTGATTGGTTCCTTGTCATGAGGCAGGCATCTGACTTTCTAGTGACTAACTTCTGATGGGTTCCTTGTCACAAGACAGGCATCTGACCTCTAAGTGAACAAGGCAAGTTTATGGCAAGCACGTGTTCGGCTGTTATGGCTGCCGAAAGGGGGGCTGGTCCCTTCCACTTTTTGCTTTTTTTTTTTTTTCTCCTGGTCTCCTTTTTTCCCCTGAGGATTCGTGCCTTCAGAAGATTGATTCTATGTAAAGAACTTGGTCCTAACATAGAGTGAGCCTTTATACCCAGCTCACATTAGATTTTGGTTTTCCTGTTTTACTTTGACACATTTGCTATGTAGCCCAGGCTGGCCTTGAATTTACAACTCTCTTACCCCAGCCCCCTGAGTTCTTGGATTATAGGCACGTGTAACTGTCAATATTCAGTGATTTCTTCCACTACTCCCCACCTTATTTTATTTAAGGAAGATTTTGTTTTTTTCTTTTGGTTTTTTGAGACAGGGTTTCTCTGTGGCTTTGGAGCCTGTCCTGGAACTAGCTCTTGTAGACCAGGCTGGTCTCAAACTCACAGAGATCTGCCTGCCTCTGCCTCCCGAGTGCTGGGATTAAAGGCCTGCACCCCCACCACCTGGCTTAAGGAAGATTTTATAGTGCATTTATTTGTGAGGGTCAGGCACAGGCTACAGTGTACATGTGAAAATCAGAGGGCAACTTGCAGAAGTCAGTGTCCCCTTTCCATCATGTGGGTCCAGGGACTGAACTGATGTCCTTGGGGTAGGCAGCAAGCACCTTTACTCTGTGAGCCATCTTGCCCATGTCCCACTTAATTTTTTTGTGACAGTGCCTCTCACTAAGCATCTAAATGACTTCATTTGGACTGGCTGGCCAGCAAGCCTCTGGGATCCTTTGCCTCCACGCCCCTTTGCTTAGTCTTGGTTCTGTTGCTGTGAAGAGACACCATGATCACGGCAACTCTCATAAAAGAAAGCCTTTTATCAGGAACTTGCTTACAGTTTCAGAGTTAGTCTGTGACTATCATGGTGGGGAGTGTGGCAGGCAGGCAGACAGGCAGGGGGACCAGCATGGTGCTGGAGCTAAGAGCTTGCAGTCTGATCCATTGGCAGGTCACAGGCAGAGAGAGACCTAGAGTGAGCTTTTGAAACCTCAAAGCCCACCCTCAGTGACACACCTCCTCCAGTGAGGCCATGCCTACTATTCCTTCCTAAACAGTCAACTGGGGACTAAGCTCAAAAATATGTAAACCTATGGGGACCATTCTTTTTCTGTTGTTGTTTTGTTTTTCCAAACAGGGTTTTTCTGTGTAGCTCTGGCTGTCTTGGAACTTGCCCTGCCTGCCTCTGTCTCCCGAGTGCATTACCAGCACCTCGCCCAATGAGATTTCTTTATGGCCCCTTGTTTACTTGTATATCCCAGGCTGGTTTTACATGCACTATGTAGCCAAGGCTAGTCTACTTCCCTCCACCTCTGAAGTGCTGGCATTACAGGCATGCACCACCACACCTGCTGGAGTCTTTCCTTTCTCATGACCAATATTAAAATGACAAAATGAAATTTCAAGATGAACATGATTATCCTTTTAGGATTAGCAAGTCTTTAAAAGAACAGTTTCATTTGCATAAATCGGCTTTTTAGAACCAAGGCAAATATTAAGTAATTCTGTTCTTAGAAGGTGCAGCTTGAGACAATTATAATTCCACAGTTCAACACCTCACGCCCACGCAATCCCAGATCTAAACAGAAACACAAGTTCCAGGGAGCAGGCAGATGGGGACAAGAAGTGGGGGAACGAACACTGCCAACAAAAAGTCACTGAGCATGTTACCTGCCTTGTCTGCCTTGGGAAGGAATACACCGTCCCGCCACTCAATTTCCTAAGCATTGTTCCAAGAGAAGAAAGACAACTTGTTGATCTGTTCTTGTATAAGTCATTTATCTTCAGCGTCATTTGAAACCACCACTTTCAAAGGCTGCTTTTTAATTGACTGGATTTTGTGTGTATGAGAGTGAACAGCTTCAGGCTCAGGGAAGATTTGAGCAGACAGTACATATAGGTTTCCCACATAACCCTTGGTGCCGCCTTCTCCAGATTCCCGTTTCATGAACAGTTTGTGTCAGTGTAGCATACTTGCCAGCACTGATAGGTCAATGTTAATGTTACTATTAACAGATCAAATTAACAGCCAGGTGTTCTGTGCTTTCTGAGGCTTTGACAGGGGTGTGACTGCCTGGCCACCATTCCAGTCTCTCTCGGTGCACACCTACTGTCCACTCTACCTCCTCCTCTAGAACCCTGGCAGCCACTGATCATTTCCTGTGTCAGGGTTGTTTTGCCCTTTCTAGAATGCCTTGGTTTCTCATTTCATAAAATTCTTATTTTGGCATCGTTTCCAAATATCTAGTGTCTGTACCGAGTGCTGTTATTGAACTCAGGGCCTTGCCCTTGCCAGGCAAGTGTTGTACCACAGAGCTATGGGAAGAGCAGTAGCAACAATAACAAAAACACAAAACAAGTTAGAAGAACCAGCTATTTTTTTTTTTGTTTGTTTTTTGAGACAGGGTTTCTCTGTGTAACTTTGGAGCCTGTCCTGGCACTCTCTCTGGAGACCAGGCTGGCCTCGAACTCACAGAGATCCACCTGCCTCTGCCTCCCAAGTGCTGGGATTAAAGGCGTGCACTACCAACGCCCAGCGAGCCTCCCTTTCTTATAAACCTGCTGTGTGGGTTCTCCATCCTAAATTTTCAGGAATTAATGGAATTCACCATATTAAATACTCACTCTGTGTTAGTACCAAGTGGGGCTTCAGACCCAGGAGTAGAGAAAAAAAAAGTTTTTTGTTGTTGTTTTTTAAATTTATTTTATTTTTTTAAGATTTATTTCTATAAAAAGATTTATTTTTATTTTATGTGCATTGGATTCTTGCCTGCATGTCTGTGTGTGAGTGGCCTTGTGGATGCTGGGAATTGAACTCAGATTCTCTGGAAGAGCAGCTAGCTAGTGCTCTTAACTAGTGAGCCATTTCTCCAGCCCAGAAAAAGTGATTTGTATGATGTTAAAAGTCCCTCCCTCCAGGGCTGGAGAGATGGCTCAAAGGTTAAGAGCACTGACTGCTCTTCCAGAGGTCCTGAGTTCAATTCCCAGCAACCACATGGTGGCTCACAACCATTTGTTATGAGATTTGGTGCCCTCTTCTGGTGTGCAGATATACATGGAAGCAGAATGCTGTATAATCAATAAATAAATAAAAAAAAAATCTAAAAAAAAAAAAGGTTCCTCCCTTCATTTCTTTCTTTTTTTTTTTTATAGAAAAAGTAGGATAGTCAGGAGGATGGGGAGTAAAAGGCTACCCTTTAGTTATGTAGTAAGTTTAAGGCCAGCCTGATGTACATGTGACCCTGTTTCTTTTTTTCCTTGGACTGTCAGAGTCATTCTCCAGGGGCAGGCAGGGTGAGGCATGCTTGAGCCACAGCTCTGGGCTCAGCATGCTCAGGGCTCCCGTTGTTTGTCTTTGCCCTCCAGACCATGACCTGGACCTATGGCTGGAACAGTTTCCTCCCTGTCTACTACCTCCGGGAGAGCCAGAGAGTCCTTCTCTACATCTGTGCTCACACTGCCGTTATCTACAACGTCTTCAGGAATACACAGTACCACCTTCAGGTATGCAGGCCTCGTCTCCCTGTGAACAAAAAGATGTCTTTGCTTGGTGTTTTGGGATAGGGACTCAGATGTGGAGCTCAGACTGTCCCTGAGCCCTCAAACTTCCTGCTTCAGCCTCTGAAGTTGCCAGGATGGTTGGCATGTGCCACCAGGCCAGGTTGGAAGAAAACACCTGTAACCTGCATATAGAACTTTGCTTTGGGTCCCAGGGTTACTTCAGTGCATCCCAGTCATACCTGCTGGCTTCTCCTTTTTCCACCAAATTCTCCCTTTAGAGCAGTGGTTCTCAACCTTCCTAATGCTGTGACCCCTTAATACAGTTTCTCATGTTTTGGTGACCCCCCCACCATAAGTTTATTTTTGTTGCTACTTCATAGCTGTAATTTTTCTCCCGTTATGAATCGTAGTGTACATGTTTTTGGAGATTGAGGTTTGCCAGAGGGTCACCACCCACAGGCTGAGAACCACTGCTTTAGAGACACATTGTTGTGACAGGTAAGGTGGCTCAGCCTGCAAGAAGGAAACCTGGTGACCTGAGCTTGGTCCCCAAGACCCACGTGGTGGAAGGAGAGAAACAACTCTCACAGGTTGCCCCTACCTCCACATGTGCACTGTGGCAGGTGTGTGTGTGTGCACACCCACACCCCTCCACACACACACCCACACCCCCCCCAACACACACAGGCACAAGACACACAAATCAATGTAATAAATGAAAAGAAAATAAAGAAGCAGGTGCTGCTGCCTGCCTTCCACGAGTCTAAGCAGTACCTAGTGCAAACAGTAGATGATACTAATTGTAACATTTCAAGAATTGGAAACATCTGGATTTTGTACATTTCTGCAAACAAAACAAAACAAATGAACAAACAAACAAACAAACAAACAAAAACATAGCAGTATAGATTATGTCCCCACAGAAGTGTGATGAGTTAGGGAGGGCGGCAGCTCCCTGGGGACAAAGACCCTTAGACTCAGGTTCTCCATGCTGAAAAGGCACAGGTTACCATTCTAGAAAGTAGGTGTTAAAATATGTGACAGAAGAGGAGGCCAGGGGTCCTCCTATCCTTCCCTTGCTTCCGCAGTGTTTATTTCACCCTCCTTCCTGGGTGCCCTCTATGCCTGCCTTCCTCACACTACTTGCTTCCTTCATCCCTGATGGTTTGACCCCTTTCATTGTCATCATTTCCATACCTAAATGTCCTGTTTCTAAGTGTCTACTATTCTACTGTGGACTTGGCTATTAGTTACGTGTTGCCTTTTCATGAATGTGTGATGTTATAGAAACTTCCAGTTAATGCCAAGATCAAAAGGATCACAAAGAATTTCCCAAGCTCCTAGGCAGTGCTCAATGTGATACCAGGGATGAAAACTAAGGAATCTCCTTTCTGATAAAAACACCGAGCAAGTCTCACTGAAGCGAGGTTAAGCATGTATCACCAAGTACAGGAAGCACAGAGGGAAGGTGGCTGGGGTGGGCAGGCAGTTCAGATGCGTGTAGCATGACCCACAGGAGCCTAGCCATGCCAGCATGCAACTAGGACTGACCTTGACCATTTGTTCACAGCATAACTGCATCCTAACCGCTGCTGAGTGTCAGGTTTTGTCTGTGGCCATGAACACAACAGACCTGGATGTCCCAGTCTGTGATATAAACAGGCATGGGAGCAGGGAGCATAAATAGATGAGCACAGAGTGAGCTTTTGGAGGAGATGGGAAGGTGCACTAAGAAGTCATGATGTGAGAGACCTTAGATTGGCTAGCAGGGCCCAAGAAAGTCCTGTTTCTGCTGAGACCTGAAAAATGAGGAAAATGAGCCTACAGGACAGTGAGGGGAAGAGCCTTCCAGACAGAAGAGGCTTCAAGGACTAAGCTTGTGTGTGAGGGCCAAAGAAGAGGTCAGTGTGACTGGTACAGATTAGATGGCAGGGGAAATCAGGAGGGAGGGAGGAAAGATGGGGTCCAGATCCTGTAAGAATGTTGTCAATAAGCTGGGCAGTGGTGGTGCACACCTTTAAACCCTATACTCAGGAGGCAGAGGCAGGTAGAGCTCTGGGTTTGAAGCCAGACTGGTCTACAGAGTGAGTTCCAGGACAGCTAGGGCTACACAAAGAAACCCTGTGTAGCTGTCATCTTTGAGTATGTTTCTGGAAGATTCCTCTGTTGTGTGGGGAAATGACTCCTGTGGTTTTGAGACTGGATCAGAGACCAGTGACCTGCAGAGCTGTTCAGTGATCCAAGGTGAGCACTGTTTGTGGGGGATGAAGCCAGCAGGGAGTTCAGAGGTCCTGGTTGGGTTGGCCACTTACCTCCACCACTAGGGAGGACATATTCCTTTGGAGATTACAGCTCCTTCAGGTTCATGGAGGAAGAGAAAGCTTGGGAACCCAACCCCAACAAGAGATTTAGAGACCTCTGGGAGGGCCGCTTTCCAAGCAGAGTCCACACTAGGCCCCATCTTTATTGTTTCTAAGATGTCTTCTTCATGTCTATAGGGCCACCCTAACATCATCTCCTGCCTCTGTGTCAGCGAAGACAAGCGATGGATTGCCACAGCAGACAAAGGACCAGGCTGTCTCATAATTATATGGGACTCCTTCACAGGGTAGGCTCTGTGTGGGCAAATCTTTCTGGCTTTAATTTCTGTAGAGGATTGGCCACTGTGGTTGAGAAAGGGCAAAATAATGTTGTTGTCAAGAAACTTGTTTTGTTGGTGGCCCAGAGTAGACTGGACCAAAGGAGGGTCACAGTGACCCAGCTCATGTTGGGGTCGAGCATACTCTGGATGCCAAATTTGTCCCGGTGAGGAAGCTTACTTCTACATGAGGTTTCCACTGAAGTTTTCTTTTGAGACAGGGTCCCCGGCAATCTTTACCTATAACTAGTCCCCTCTTTCACAGTCCACCATTCTCTGTCTCTCTGTGTATGTGTGTAGTTTCATATTTAATTAACTACTTAATTGTGTGTGTGTGTGTGTGTGTGTGTGTGTGTGTGTGTAAATAGTAGTTTACTCTCTTCCAGATCTAGAGGTATTAAATTAAGGTGTCATGAGGTCTGTCTATTCCTTTGGGGCTCTGAGGGAGATACTTTTCCAGGCTGCTCTCCTTGCTTCTGCTAGCTGCTGGCAGTCCTTGGTGTTCTTTGGCATCTGGTCTCTGCCTACACCTTCTCGTGGCATTTTCCCCTGTCTCTGTGTCTCCTCTTCTGTAGGACATGGACTTTAGAGCCCTCCTAATCCAGGGTGGTGTCACCTTAGCCAACTGCACCTGCAAAGACTCAACTTCTTTCTTTCTTTCTTTCTTTCTTTCTTTCTTTCTTTCTTTTTAAAGATTTTATTTATGATGTATACAATATTCTGCTTCCATGTTTATCTGCACACCAGAAGAGGGCACCAGATCTCATTACAGATGGTTGTGAGTCACCATGTGGTTGCTGGGAATTGAACTCAAGACCTCTTGAAGAGCAGTCAGTGCTCTTAACCGCTGAGTCATCTCTCCAGCCGTCTTTCTTTCTTTCCTTCCTTCTTCCTTCCTTCCTTCCTCCCTTTCTTCCCTCCTTCCTCCCTTCCTTCCCTTCCTTCCTTCTTTCTTTCTTTTAAAATCACATTTTTACTGTGTGTGTGTGTGTGTGTGTGTGCGCGCGTGCGTGCGTGCGTGCGCGCGCGCTCATGTACACACCATAGCCTGCATGTGAAGGTTAGAGGAGAACTTGCAGAGTGTGTTCTCTTCTAATCCCCGGTGAGCCCAGGGGATTGAACTCAAGTAGTCAGACTTGGCTGGCAAGCACCCTTACTCATTGAGCCGTCCCACCTTCCCCAATGATTCTATTTCTAAATAACATGGCTCTTTCAGGTTTTGAGTAGACATGAATTTGTGGGGACCCTATTAACTCACTGTGAGGGTCAGTGAAGCATGCTTCAGTCCTAGAAGCAGAGAAGGGCTTTAGACTCCGACAGGATGTAAGGCTTTTTTTTTTTGTTTTGTTTTGTTTTGTTTTGTGTTTTTTTTTGTGGGGGGGGGGTGGTAGTAACAATTGGGTCAAGAGGAATAAGACAGTTAAGCAGGACTTCTGTATAATATCCTGGAGTGGGGTGCACAGGGCTGCTGTCCATCAGCCGAGCAGTGACCCCCATAGGTCCTGATACGCAATCACTAATCCTCACTGAACTGACTTAGTGATATCCTTCACTGCACCTCCCAAGGTTGCTTCCTCCAGGCTCTCCTCAGGTTCTCCTTCCCTAAGCATCCCATAAATGTGGACGGTGGTCATAGGCCACCATGTTGTTATCTGGACAAGAGACAGTTATCATCACAACCCTGTCCACACTTCTTCCTCCAAGTGGGGAGGCTACAGGGTGCCCAGGTTTCTCCTCCTAAAATGGCCAGAAGTCATGTGGTACCCACCTCACAAATAGCTTCTTTGTCTACTTCCACAGCCTTTTCTGTCCCCACATGCTAGACTGCTACAACAATATCCTAGCTGACCCTCATTCTTTGACTAGTCATCTGTTGGAATGGTTTTATTTTTAAATTCTATTTTGAAGGTCTCACTCTGTAGACTAGGCTGGCCTGGAACTCACAGAGATCTTCCTGCTTCTGCCTCCCAAGTGCTGAGATTACATGCCCTGCATGACTTTATTTTTTATTGTAGTAAAATTAGGCAACTTACAAGTCACCATGTTAACCATTTTATTTATTTTTTACAATTCTTTTTTTTTTTTTTTTTTTTTTAAGAGTCAGGGTTTCTCTGTGGCTTTAGAGGCTATCCTGGAACTAGCTCTTGTAGGCCAGGCTGGTCTCAATCTCACAGAGATCCTCCTGCCTCTGCCTCCCAAGGGCTGGGACTAAAGGCGTGCACCACCAATGCCCAGCTACAATTCTTTTTTTTTTTTTTTAAAGATTTTATTTATTTATTATGTATACAACATTCTGCTTCCATGTATATCTGCACACCAGAAGAGGGCACCAGATCTCATAACGGATGGTTGTGAGCCACCATCTGGTTGCTGGGAATTGAACTCAGGACCTCTGGAAGAGCAGTCAGTGCTCTTAACCTCTGAGCCATCTCTCCAGCCCCCAATTTTTTACAATTTACAAGAAGGAAGGAAGGAAAGAGGGTTGGAGAGATGGCTCAGTGTGTGTGTGTGTGTGTGTGTGTGTGTGTGTGTGTGTGTGTCCATAGATACTAGTGGGAAATGGCTCCCTCTTTCTATGTGGGTACTAGGGTTTTGAACTCAGATTATCAATCTTGCCAGCAGGTGACTGTTCCCACTGCACTACTTTATTTTCAGCTCTACTTTATTTTCATTATTATTTTTGGGCTGTTTTGAGACAGGGTTTTGCTATAGAATCCAGCCTGTCTGTCCTTGAACTCACAATCCTCCTGAGTTCTGGGATTCTAAGTGTGCACCACCATACCCGGCAGCCATTTTTAAATGTGTGATCCAGTGGCATTAGTTACTGAGCTGTTTCCAGATATTGCCATCGCTGCAAATAGCAACTGTGTTCTGAGCAGCGGCCATCCTCTCTTCCCCAGCTGCTCTGACATACCTTCTGCCTCCACAGATGTGTCCACTCCACATATTGCCTGGGAATGGAGTCATGTAACATGTGGACTTTGTGCTTCTCTCATGGAGCAAAACACCTTTAAAGCTCGTCCCTGTTATAGCTGACTGGTTTTTTTTGTTGTTGTTGTTTAGGTTTTTGGGGTTTTTGTTTATTTGTTTGTTTTTCGAGACAGGTTTCTCTGTGTAGCTTTGGAGGCTGTCCTGGCACTCACTCTGTAGACCAGGCTGGCCTCGAACTCACAGAGATCCGCCTGCCTCTGCCTCCTGGGTGCTAGGATTAAAGGCGTGTGCCACCAAAGCCCGGCTAGGTCTCAACAGCCCTGCACTTTCAAATTCCATTGGCCATCAGTGCAACAGGAATGAGGCATGATTTGTCACTGAAGGCCTTTGTCACAGTTTTAATGAAAAACTAAGTGAATTATTTTAGCTGAAAATTGAAGTCTGCACTGGCCATCATCACCAGTTACAGTGCTTTTTCCAGTGATAATCAGTCTGGTGTGCTTCCTTCTAGAACATCTGCTTCAGATGTGAACACACATTGAGGGCCTTCATTGTATGGTTTTTCTGCACAATATTTTGTACGGTCATTTCCCAAGAATAAATCTGGTTGTGTAGCTCTCCTCTGGAAGCTACCACTGACCCATTAGCCTAGCTTACAGTGTCCTCAGATAGGGAACTGTCCCCACCTGCATGCCTGAGGTCCCACATTTTCTTACTCCAGAGCCCCTGTTACAGCCACTATAAACAGTCTCCTGTGTGTCACAGCAGTGTCTGTTGGCTGGGACAAAATCTGCTCCCACTGAAGGACACAGGTTCTCTGTCATATGAGAAGTATCAGCTAACTAAAATGCAGCCCCCGACATTCACAGCATTGGGAATGGCAGCCCGGAGTTCACAGTGGGAGAATGGATCTCAGCCCTGGAGAGGATTCACTTTAAACACAGAGAAGACCAATCACTCAGATCTGTAGTATTGACATGCAAATGACCCAGAAACTTGTTCGCAACTTTAAAACTAGAAAGTTTAAGAGAATTTGAGGTCTTTAGCAGTTTAGATTTGCAATTCTAATTGAAAATATGTGGCTGATTTAGGCTTTCAATTTTAAATAGAAATCATTTTAGCTTTATAAACAGTGTTACAAATACTTAGGAAAGCTTAAGGTTTACCATAGTTATGGATAAATTTATTAGATTTATAGCAATTACTTCAGTATTGGTGAGAAATTTGTTTCTTAATTAGACCACCAAAAAGTTAACCATAAAACTGAATATATTATATTTCTTCACCCAGCTTAAAATCTTTTTAAGGTTAATAGCCAAATTTGTGTAGCTGTACATTAATCAAAGCCTCACAAAGGAGACTGCAAAAATATGCTACGTTTATAAAGCGAGCAGGATCTGTTTTGAGACAGTGGCCTCCTAGATAGTCTAGGGTGACTTGGAATTGGCCTGACATTCAGGACCCTCCTGTCTCAGCCTCCAGCTGCTGGGCTCATGTTTGGCACCCCATCGGGCTAATCTTTTGCTGTGATCATGGCTGCAGTAGTAGGGGCTGAGCCTGGGTCACACACTTGCTCTGTGGGTAGTTCATCACTGAACCAAATCCCCAACCCTGAGTAAGACTTTTAAGTTGAACAAAAACCTTAAGGGAAAACAATGTTTTCCTTTAATTTGTCACTTTAATAAGGAGAATATTAATTCTAAGACCCCAAACAGTCTCAGAATAATCTTTTCATGGGCCATTTTATCAGGTTGGATATCCTAAAGCTCAAACCAGACACCAAGCTGTAGGCAGACTTTCTCTGTCCCACCAGCTGGCTCCCAAATAACCACCCCAGAGGCTTATTAATTACAAATGCTCATCTGATAGCTTAGGCTTATTATTAACTCTTACATCTTAAATTAACCCATATTTCTTACCTATGCTCTACCACATGGCAGTACTGTTTCTCAGTCTGTCATGTTCATCTCCTGTTTTCCTCTTCGGTTGGCTGTCGACTCCACCCTTCTTCCCTAAGTCCTCTCTGCCCCCAAAATTCTGCCTAGCTATTGGTGGCTCAGCTTTATTATTATTATTGTTGTTGTTGTTGTTGTTGTTGTTGTTGTTTTCGAGACAGGGTTTCTCTGTGTAGTTTTGGAGCCTATCCTGTTACTTGCTCTGGAGCCCAGGCTGGCCTCGAACTCACAGAGATCCACCTGCCTCTGCCTCCCAAATGCTAGGATTAAAGGTGTGCACCACCAACACTCCTCAGCTTTTTATTAAACCAATCCCGAGTGACAAATCATCAGTTTACAAAGGGATTATTCCACAGCACCATGCTGAGCTACATGGTGAGACACTGTTTCAAAAAAAGAAAAGAAAGAAAAGAAAAACAAACAAAACCCAGAGTCTAGCTGGGAGCCCATGTCATAAACAAGAAAGCTCGGGTAGGTCAACACTGTTCGTATTGGGTCTTGCCATGAAGGTGACTGTCCACAGAGGCTTCCGAGAAGAGACACTGCTGATGACACACCTTCCATTGTGGGCATCCTCTCGCATGGGTCAGTTTTCCCTCAGGTTGGATGTTCCATTACTTGCAAGGGCTGAGGTCCATTCTCCCACAGTGAACTCCAGGCTGCCATTCCCAAATATCTGGGGCTGCATTTTAGTTAGCTGATGCTTCTCAAGTGACAGAGAACCAGTGTCCTTCATCGGGAAGAGACTTTGTCCCAGCCAACTGTCACCGCTGTGACACACAGGAGACTGTTCATAGTGACTGTAACAGGGGCTCTGTAGTAAGGAAATGTGGGGCGCCACACAGCCCACAGTCTGCTGCCACTCCATCCCCCCTCCCAGTTTAAGCCAGTGGCCTCCCAGCCCCACATGTTTGCTCACCCACTCCCATTGGAGTTTACACATTACCTAATTGAATTCTGTATGTGTCAAGGCTTTGAATGAACTTCACTGTTGTGAAGTCTCAGCAGGGGCACAGAGTAGGAGCGTGTAAGTAAAAACAGGAAGATGTCTCCTCACTCAAACCCAGTCTCCAAATCAAAACCACAAAGTATAGTTGGGAATCTGTTCTGGGTTTTATGTGTCTAAAGGAGTAGGCATGCCCACCCAAGGGAGCAGGCTGCGGTTTGCCTGTTTGCAGTTGGATTTTTTTTTTTTTTCACGTGTTTTGGTCACTTATTCAGCTCAAGCCTTATTTTTAAAATGTTTATTTATTTATTTATTTATTTATTTATGTTTTTCGAGACAGGGTTTCTCTGTGTAGCTTTGGAGCCTATCCTGGCACTCACTCTGGAGACCAGGCTGGCCTCGAACTCACAGAGATCTGCCTGCCTCTGTCTCCTGAGTGCTGGGATTAAAGGCGTGCGCCACCAACACCCGGCTTTAAAAATGTTTTAATTGTGGTCTGGAGAGATGGTTCAGTGGGTATGAGCCCTGCTCTTCCAGAGGACTCAGGTTGGTTCCCGGTACCTTTGTGGTGGCTCACAACTGTCTGTGACTGCAGTTCCAGGGGATCTGATGCCCTCTTCTGACCTCTGTGGGTGTCAGGCTCTCGTGTGGTGCACAGATATATTGTAAGCGAAGACAGCCTTACAGATAAGAACAAAACAAAATAACTAAAGAAGGTTTTACTCCCCTCTCTACCAGCAATTGCTTTTTAAAACATTATTTTTATCACATCCATTTATCGGGGAGGCACCAGTATGCCATGTCTCAAGCGTGGAGGTCAGAGGACAACTTGTGGGGGTTGGTTCTTTCCTTCTACCATACGAGCCCCTGGGATCCATCTGGGGTCATCAGGTTTGGTGGTAAAGCATCCTTTCCCCAGTCTGTTGGGAGGCAGAGCATGGTGGCCCGAAGTCACAGTGCTGCTCTGGAGCAAAGCAGCTCACCTCACACTAGCCAGGAAGCACACAGGAAGGGGCTGGGGCAAGCTATCTCTCCGGGACATGACCTAGTGACTATTTCCTTAACCAAGGTCTCACTTCCTACCCACCCCCAGTGTGTGTGTGTGTGTGTGTGTGTGTGTGTGTGTGTGTGTGTGCGCGCGCGCTCGCTCACTTGTGTTTGTGGCCAGAGGTTGACTTTGTTTAGGGAGCCATCTTCTATTACTGTCTACCCTATTCACTGACACAGGGGCTCTCAGTTGAATCCAGAGGTTGTCAATTTGGCTAATCTTAGCCAGCCATCTTGCTTTGGGGATCCCTGTCTCTGCTTTCCAAGTACTAGATGAACAGGTGGCCACCACACCCCTCCAGCGTTTACACGAACTATCTGGGCACCCAAACTCTGGTCCTCCTGCTCGAATAGCAAATGCTTAACCAGCTATCTTCCAGCCCCACATTCTAGTTTCTACCATCACCTAGTAATGCCATCATACTATGAATCAATTTAGGGAATTAATCCATTGATAAGCCTTCAGGATTAAATCACTTCCCCCAAAGTTTCTGAGCTGATAGTCAGGCCTTTGTGGACATTGCAGGTTCAAACCTTACTGAATCCTTCATGTCTGGCAAAAGTACCAGGAGTAGAATCAGCACCAGGAACAAGTGACCAGGCAACCAGAGTGTCCCTGAAGACAGCACACAGAGCACTCACCCTACTGCTCTGGCTCCAGGTGAGGCCTGCTGTTCTTATGGAGATAAAGTTAAATAACATAAAACTGGACACATGAAAGTACACAGTGAGGGTTGGCATTTAGTCACAGTGTTACACAAGCATCATCTTTACCTTGTTCCAAAACAGTTTAATCATCCCCTAGGGGCATTGGCTCTCCACATTCCCTCCCAGAGGCAGTCACCAGTCTGCTCACAGAGTCGGTATGTTTCCTGTCTGTGGGTGCGTGCATGTGAACTTTTGTGTCTGGCTTTTGCACTAGTGTCACGTTCTCAGGGTGTGTCTGTGTTGTGGCATGTGTCATCTCATCTTTTCTCTTTTGGAAGAATGAATAATAAGAACGGTTTGCTCATGTATTATTAATGAATAAAAACGAATTAATTCAACTTGCCTACTAGCTGATAGCTGTAACCCCAGGTCTCAGGAGGATCATAATTTTGGGGCCAGCCTGGGCTACAGAGCAAGACCCTGTCTAAAGAAAGGGGGGTGGGGTGGGGTTGGGTGTGGCTGGCAGCTGGAGAGATGGTTGGTTACTCTTGCTGGGCTGGCTTCAGTTCTTAGCACCTACGCCTGGCAGTTTGCCTGCTTGTAACTCCAGCTTCATGGCATCCAATGCCCTCTTTGGCCTCCACAGGCCGTTCACATGAACATATCTGTGCACATATACACATAATTTTAAAATAAGATGAAAATTAAGGAAATAAATTGCTGGGTAGTGGTGGCACTTGGGCCTGTAGAGGAGTTCTAGGTCATCCAGGGCTACACAGAGAAACTCTGTGTCAAAACAAAACAAAACAAAACAAGGGCTGGAGAGATGGCTCAGAGGCTAAGAGCATTGACTGTTCTTCCAGAGGTCCTGAGTTCAATTCCCAGCAACAGCATGGTGACTCACAGCCATTTATGATGGGATCTGATGCCCTCTTCTGGTGTGCAGGCACACATCAGATAGAACACTGGATACATAATAAATAAAATAAGTCTTAAATATATAATAAATAAGAAGATAAATTATTTGGACATAAATGTTAATTAGACAAGAATATTGTTTGCATAGACAGATGATACTTTATGTTTTTGGAAGGTGTTCAGCCCTGTCATAGCCTCACTGGAAGCCAGGAATCCCTTGGCAAGGCCCATCCCTGTCTACTCTGTGTTTCAGAATCCCCGTGCACACCATATTTGACAGCTGTCCAGAAGGTAATGGCATAAGGTCCATAGCCATCACCCGTGATGCCAAGTTTCTGGCTACCATCTCAGATGCTGAAATCCAGGTAAAGTGTCTTTTGGGTAGACCTCTCTGAGCTGGCCAACATTGCCAGATGTCTTTGCAGCCACCTCTGCACAGGCCACCTGTGTGTATGATGTTCCAGGATGAGCAGACTTCACAGTGCAGGGGTGGGGAGCATGCTTAGGGCTCGGCCAGTCCTCCTCTAAGTTACCTCTGGGGCCTCTTATGTCCTCCACTGTGCTCTTTCTTGCAGAAAGTATGCATATGGAAGTGGACCTTGGCAGTGGAGACGCCTGCATGCACTCTTGACCTTCCCAAAGATTATGGTGTCCAGGTGCGTTGTGCTCGAGCCTGTGAACGCTAGCCTGTGCTGACACTGAGACTGCCCCTGGCTCTTTGTGTTAGTAGGGTTTTGTCACGGTGCAGAAGGACCTTTGAATAACACTTTCCTAATCCAGATCTTACTTTACCCTTCCTAATAACAGCTAATGTGTTTGACACACTTGCCACGTCCTAGATTCTGCTCAGTTTTTTACTTATGTTATCTCCCATAATCTACACAAACATGCAGGTGCAGAGTTATTAATGTCTGTGGACTACCACTATTAATTATTAAATAATCCATCTAAAGCCAACCTGCCAGCAGCCTTCCTTATTCCAGAAGCAGGAGCTCGGCTGCTTCTGACCTTGCGGTGAGACAGTGAGGTATAAGAATACATCGTTGTCAGCTTGCCTAAGAAGGTTTGTCTAGCACACCCTGAGTGCTCACATCAGGTCTCTCTGTGTCCCATGACACAGAGACACTGCTCTCTGCTTCTCATGTTCTCTTTCTTCCTCCAGTAAGTATGGAGAGGACTGGTGTACACCTGGCTCTGAGATACCTGGGTCACAGGACCTAAAACCCAGAGTGTTGAGTGACTAACTCAGCAAGGCTCAGATCCTGATGCAGTCACATGTCCAGCTGCCCCACTTCCACTATCCTGTCACTCAGAAAAATAAATACCTCTATTTTTAAAGTTTGCACTGATCCAACAGCCAGCCGTATGTGGCTATTTAAGTGTGTGTATGTGTGTATGTATGTATGCATATGTGGAGGCCTCAAGGATTTCTATCTGGAATTACCCTCCCACCTTACTCACTGGGGCAAGGTCTCTCAATCAAACTCAGAGCCAACTGATAGCATTAGTCTTGCTAGCCAGCTATCTGGTGATTCCCCCATGTGTGCCTTCTGAGGCTGGAATTACATACAGGCAGGCCACCATGCTCACTCAACATTTACATAGGTTCTGGAGATCCCAACTTCTGTCCTCAGGCTTGTGTGGCAAGCACCTTTAATGGCAGAGCCATCTCTGTGTACTCTTTAATTTTTGTTAACTTGACTCCAACCTAGACATATCCAGGAACAGGGACTCCAAATTGAGGAATTGCCTCCATCACATTGGCCTGTGGGAAGGAGAGACATTTTCTTAAATGCTAATTAGTGTGAGAGAGCTCAGCCCACTGTGGGCAGTGCCATCCATGAACAGGTGTGCCTGGACTATATAAGAAAGCAAGCTGTGCGAGCCATGAAGAACTAGCCAGTGACTGGCATTCCCCTGTAGTCTCTGATTCCTGCCTGCGTCCCCACCTCGGCTTCCCCCAATCAAACCCTCTCTTGTTCCAATGGCTTTTGATCAGTGTTGTGTCACAGCAATGGAAAGCAAACTAGGACACCAGTCCCAGGCTTGGCATTTTTGAGACAGGTCCTGGATATGTAGCCAGGTAGCCTGGAACACAAAGTGGTTTCCAGTCTTGGCCTCCTATGTGCAGGGATTACAGGTGTGTGCTGCCACAGTTGGCTTCTGTGTTTTTGTTTGTTTCTGTACAAAATGCCTTTAGGACCCCCCCCCCCCCCCCCCCCCCCCCCACCATCTTAATTATATTGTTTCCCAATCCCAGAGCACCAGGTGTCACACTGCTTGTTTATCTGTCTTCAGTTCTTTTTTGGACAGTGCTTTGTAGTTTCTCTTGTGCAAATCTTTTTGCCTCCTGAGTTAAATTTATTCCTGCATTTTTTTTCCCCTCTTTCTGGTGCTTTTGAAAGTGGAATCGCTTCCCTAATTCCCCCTTTCAGGTTGTTCACGGCTGCTGTATAGAAACACAGCTGGATTCTGCTGCTTAGTGTTGTGTCCCGAAACCTTGCCAAATGCACTATTGAAATTTAAATTGATTACAATGAAATCAAATGACAAGTTTGGTTCTCCAGCTTTACTAGCCACATTTTAAGTTCTCCCCAGCCACATGTGGCCTATTGGCTACAGTATTTGATGCATTCTACAACTCAGGTTAGTCCAGTGGGCTCTTGTCATTTCTACCTTCCTGTGGCTGGCAGTTGACAACATTCCTCATGTGTCATTGACAGGACAGGGGTTACCAGGGGCAAACAGTAGCGTGTTCCCACTCCAAAGCCTCCAATCTGCCTCCAACCCCACAGTGCACCCCCTCACCCCCCACCCTGCAACTAACTGCTCCAAGGAGGGCTAGCTCACGAGACCCCTAAGTCTCCTCCGGGTATTTCTTCCTGGGGCCCCCCACTGCCTCTTCTTAACCCTTTACCAGCACAGAGCAGATCACATTGCTAGTCTACAACAAGCTCCTGTGAACCCCCTAATCCCCTTCTGGCTTTTGCCTTTTGTCCTTTTCTTAGTTAGGTTTTTTTGTTTGTTTTAACTGCTGTGAAGAGACACCATGACCACAACTCTTGCAAAGAAAACATTTAACTGGGGTGGCTCACTTACAGTTTCAGAGGTTCAGCCCATTATCATCATGCTGGGGAGCATGGCAGCGTGCAGGCAGATGTGGTGCTGGCTACATCTTGAGCAGAAGGCAGCAGGAAGGTGACTGTCAGTTACACTGAGGGAAGCTTGAGCAAAAGAGGCCTCAAAGCTCACCCCCACAATGACACACTTCCTCCAACAAGGCCATACCTCCCATTAGTGTCACACCCTTTGGGGGGGGCATTTTCTTTCATACCACCACACTCCTCTTCCCATAAAACTTCTAGAAGGGAGCTGGTAAGATGGCTCAGTAGGTAAAAGCAGTTACCACACAAACCTGATGGGGGAGTTGGACCCTGGAACTCATGGCAGAGGGAGCGATCTCACTCCTGAACGTAGTCCTTTAACCTCTGTGTGAGGGCCTGCACTCACACATAATCCATAATACAAAAAAATTTAAACCTAGAAGAGTTCTCATCTATCCCTTTCCTCTATTTTGAATCTAACCTTCTCTCTCTCTTTTATTTTTATTTTTCACACTGCTTCCCACCCTGGAAAGTTTTGGCTTCTTAACGTTTAATTTCATAATAATTACTGTTCCGATCATGTGTGTTTGGGGGGGGGTTGTATGTGTAGAAATCAGAAGACAACTCTGTGGAGTCAGTATGCTCATTCCACCTTTATGTAGGTTTTGGAGATAGAACTCAGGGTGTCAGGCTTGCACAGTGAGCACTAGACACCTTTACCTGCTGGACCATCTGGACAGTCTCATTTCTTTCACTCAGCTTACTTTGTGACACTAGTTTATTTATTTATTTATTTATTTATTTATTTATTTATTACTTAGTTTTGGCTGGTGGTGCCTTGGTGTGTCAACTGCTTGTTTATCCTCTGCTAATGGGCATTTACATTGTTTCCTTAACGCGACTCATAAGAGCAGATGTTTCTATGAAACAAACCTTCATTTTTTCATTTTCTATTTTATTTATTTTTGAAGGCTATTTTCCTTAAATGACGACTAATCTTAAAACCATTAATCCCAGCACATAGGAGACAGAGGCACGTGGATCTCTGTGAATTCCAGTCCAGCCTGGTCTGCAGAGCGAGCCCCTATCTCAGGTGGAAAGAAAAATAAAGAAACAAAAGTATAGAGGTTATTTGCAGCTCAGTGGGTAACTTCCTTGGCAGAAAAGACACTTTAACTAGAAAGCTCCCGGTTGAAGGCTTGTTTTCAGCTGTGGGGAGGTCTGGCTCAGGCTCTTCCATTAGTCCCCATCACCCTCAGGCCTGTGTGCTGACCTGCGAGTCTAACACCAGCATTGGCAGTTCACGTTTACATTGCAGTGATAGAGCCAGCGGCTGGCAAGAAATAAGCTTGGAGGTGGGGGGATGTTGTGGCAGAAAGAGCCTGCTCCACCTCAGTTTGTGCGAGGCCTCTCTGCCTCCAGCATCCCAGGCTGCAGCCCCCAGGCTCTTACCTTCAAGTCCCTAGAGGTTTCCATGTCGGTAGTTGTGGTTATTGTTTGGTTTCTGCATTTAATGTTTCCCTCACTTGGGTTTCTGCAGAGCTGATTTTTGGGAAGGGCGCCAACAACTCACACCATATGTCTTGGCAAGAATCAGAATTCCCTCTCAAAGCCGCACGTTCATTCCAAGATCTCTTGTGGCCCTGTCAGTCTCAGAAGCATGCATTTGTCAGCCTTTGTCAAAAGAACACAGAATAAAGATTTTTAGTGATGGAGTAGAGACTGTTGTTCAAGGGTAGAGTACATGCTTAGCTGTGTGACACCCTGGGTTCATTGCCCAACAGGGGGGAATAAAGAATAAGTGAATAAATGGTGAAGGTAGTTTATTCTTTGCTTGCTATTACAAGATGATGACTTGTAATAACTAAAACTTGTAAAAGGAACACATCTTACACTACTTTACAGCCCGTATTTAAATGTGCTTCCTTTTGTTCTCCAGGTTCCAAGTCTTTTGCATTTTTATATAAATATCCCTGCTCAGTTATTTATTTTAATTAAAATTATTCCTTAAGTGTAACACTCAGCTGAAGCATCCAGAAGCAGATTTGTTTCCATGTAACACATTTTCATGCCTTATGCTTCAGAACTACCTTACCTTCAACCCAGCGAACAATAAAGAGCTGGTGAGCAACAGCATGACACTGGTTGTCTATTATTTCTGGGTAAGTAGAGGCAGCATTGTCTCAAACTGTGGATGGAAACATATGTTTAGTTTTTGAATACAGTTGTTCCATAGTATAACAATAGTGCATCCATTTTGATTTAATCAAACATTTTGATTTAATTATGGTAATTATCTTAGACTCATTGGAAATGAGCATATTAAACTAGAATCAGATAATTAAAGTTTATTTAACTTTTTTAAGCTAATAAGGCAAATATTTTTGTTTGTTTGTTTGTTTTTTGTTGTTGTTTTTTTGTTTTTCAAGACAGGGTTTCTCTGTGTAGCTTTGGAGCCTATCCTGGCACTCACTCTGGAGACCAGGCTGGCCTCGAACTCACAACAATCCACCTGCCTCTGCCTCCCGAGTGCTGGGATTAAAGGCATGCGCCATCAACGCCCAGCTCAATGAGGCAAATATTTATTTGATGACTGTATTTAATAGGTCTAAAAGATGGAGGTTTGTTTGGTGTTTTGTTTGTTTGTTTGACACCTTGGACTCTATTCCAAATTTCAGAAAGGATTTTTTATTTTTTGACACAGGGTTTCACTGTGTAGCCCTGGCTGTCCTGGAACTCACGCTAGACCAGATTGGCCTTGAACTAAGAGATCCCCCTCCCTCTGACTCCAAAGTGCTGGGATTAAAGGAGTGTGCCACAACCACCTGGCTCAGAAAGGAAGTTTTTAAAGTAAAAAAAGGTAGTTTATTATTTGACAATTTCATCCACGTAAACAATGCATCTTGACCATATGAACCCCAGCTCCCTCTCCACCTGCCCACAGGGATCCCCAGCTCTTCCCTCCCATTGCCTTCAGGAGTCCCCAACTTCTCCTTCTACTCCTGCTAGACACCACAACAGGTTCCCCCCTCTCCATTTTATGTCTCTATTTATTTATTTATTTATTTATTTATTTATTTGTTTGTTTATTTATGAGATTAAAGAGGCACACAAATAGTCCCTTCTGTGACTCAGTTCCTAGGTGCTTACCTTACAGAACAGCAAACAGGGGTTCACACAAATAGTTGTATATAAGTAGTCATTGAGCAGCACTATTATCAACAACCAAAACGCTTGATGTGACATCTATAATCCCAGTACTAGGATAACAGAGGCAAGAGGATTTCTGTGAGTTCAGGATCTACAGAGTGAGTCCCAGAACAACCAGCCAAGGCTACACAGAGAAACCCAGTCTCAGAAAACGAACCAAACAAACGAACCAGAAACTACACAATTTGGTTATAAAGTGTATGATTCCATTTATATGGAATCTTGTCCTAGGGAAGTCCACAGAGACAAGGAGTGGATTCATGGCCATCAAAGGCGGAGCAGAACAGGGAGGGAGTGACTGCAGGTCTCCCTGGGATGACAGGAATGGTCATTATGCATCATTGTGAATATCATACATGCCCAAGAAAATGCACTTGCCTAAAAACAAACAAACAAAAGCCAGGCGTTGGTGGCACACGCCTTTAATCCCAGCACTCAGGAGGCAGAGGCAGGCAGATTTCTGTGAGTTCGAGGCCAGCCTGGTCTCCAGAGCGAGTGCCAGGATAGGCTCCAAAGCTACACAGAGAAACCCTGTCTTGAAAAACCAAAAACCAAACAAACAAACCAAAACCAAAACCAAAGATTTGCTGAAAAGCTGCCTGTCAGTGTATTCACTGCTTCGGGTGTTTATTTTCCTTTTAAAGCCTCATCAGTGTAGAGCCCAGCTTTGCATTAACCACCATGCAGAGGCACAATCACGCCTGGCTCTTAAATAGATTTGCGTTTCTTTTCAAACATTTTTAGATATTCCCCAGGCGACAGGTTTTCTTCTTAAAGGAACTCCACCCCTCCAACCCCATTTGGGCACATTTGCTCTGGTTTAGCTAGCACATAGTGCCTGTTTTGGCAGCTTAGTCTTTAAATAGTAATGTCTTTTTCTGTGCTTTTCAGTTTGAAGAGAAGGATATACTTGTTCACAGTGCCCCGGTTTTAACAGAGAAAGTGAGTATTCCTGTCGTATTTTCATTTCAGATACCGAGAAGGGTAAATACACTGTGCAGACCTAGTGGGTGTGGGCTATGCCTTCATGTGAAGCCCCTGGGAAATAATTTGAACATTTTTTGCTCAGATCCTTTATCCATAATGAATCATCTTGCTAAAAATAATAGAAGTATCATAAAATAAAATAAAATAAAATAAAATAATATGGAAAAAGATGTTATTGGTATGAGTGTAATAATATAGTGCAAAGGGGGACCTTGGAAGGGTCCCATGATAGGTGGGAGACAGACAGAGGCCTACAGACATGACTTAGTGTCAAGTTTATTGGGGGAAGGTAAGGGAGTAAGGGAAGGAAAGAGAGGAGAGAAAGAGAGATAGAGAGACAGACAGCTGCCTCCTCAGAGAAATGACAGAAAGAGATGCAGAAGCAGGTAGAGCTTGCCTCTTAAAGGGACCTCTGTACCTGCATACAGAGCCAGGGCACTGCTCGTCAAGCACAGCGGTGGCACACTTTGCCAGGTCCCCAAGGGGTGGGGCCAGGTTTGTCTGGATTACAATAATGAGAAAATATCCAGAGGATGGGTAGATTTTGTAATGTATATATTGACAAAGAATAAGAGTATGACTGTGAGCACGCCAAAGCAAAAAAAATAAAGATGAGATGAATGGACACAAGGAAAGATGATTTTTCCTGGGTTCAAACCCCAGGACTACAAACCAACCAACCAGCAAAAACACTCCTGTCTGCAGACTTTGTGTGGTCAATGGTCATGACTCCTGGTGGTCATGTCTTATAAAGTCCCTGTGAATAATGAATTAGAAAGTAGTAGGGTTACAGAAGTTAATTTCTGTAAGCCGGTACCATGTTTCAGGTGATGAGTGTATAACCATGTTTCATGTGGGCTCCTGCTTCAAAGATATTTTTTAGATGTAACATTGAGGGCCAGGTGTGATGGCACATACCTTGGGAGGCAGAGGCAAGCAGATCTCTATGAGTTTGAGGCCAGCATGGTCTACAGAGCAAATCGAAACCAGCCAGGACTGCACAGTATCTCAAAGAAAACTAAATAAAAAGAATCCCAGCAACATTGAGGTCTGAGGATGTAGCTCAGGTGGGCTTATCTACCATTCATCTAAAAAAAAAATCCCTCTATAAAATCCAGCTGTAAGGCATTTTCTTTTCTGTCTTTTTTGTTTGTTTGTTTGTTTGTTTGTTTTTGTTTTTTCAAGACAGGGTTTCTCTGTGTAACAGCTGTAACAGCCCTAGCTGTCCTGGCACTAACTCTGTAGACTAGGCTGTCTTCAAACTCACAGAGATCCACCTGCCTCTGCTTTCCAAGTATTGGGATGAAAGGTGTGCGCCTCCACCACCCGACACATTTTTAAATTAGTGATTGTCGTGGGCAGGGCCCAATTCATGGTGGATGGGGCCACCCCTGGGCTTGGTGGTCCTGGGTTCTATACGAAAGCAGGCGAAGTAAGCCATGAGGAACAAGCCAGTAAGCAACACCCCTCTGTGGCCTCTGCATTAGCTCCTGCCCCCAGCTTCCTGCCCTGCTTGACGTCCTTCAGTGATGGATATGATATGGAAGTGTAAGCCAAATAAACCCTTTCCTTCCCCCAAGTTGCTTTAGTCATGGTGTTCCATCACAGCAGCAGAAACCATAACTATGACATAAACCTAGGATTTTTCTTGTGGAGGGCAATGGGCAGCAGGTTAGCCATGTTATGTGACAGATTACTGAGCTTCCTTCCTTCCTTCCTTCCTTCCTTCCTTCCTTCCTTCCTTCCTTCCTTCTCCCCATAAATTCACTGAAGGGCTTCATCAAAGCTCATTTCTTTCTCTCTATATATTTTAAAAGTTTTTATTTTAAAATTAAGTGTATGTGGTGTTGGGGTTTTGTGTCTGTGAGTGTTGGTGTCCTTGGAGCCTGGGTTTCAGGTTCCCTGGACCTGAACTCACAGATAGTTGTGAGTTGCCCAAATGGGTGATGGGAACCAGTCCTCTGGAAGGAGCAGTGTGTGCTCTTTCTCACTGAGCTGTCTCTCCAGCTCTTTCCTCTCTGAAACCTTGTGTAAGAAAGATGCCAAACGCCTTATTTATTTCCCAAAGCACAAGAGGTCTTACCAAAGTATTCTCATGTTAAGCCTGAAATAATGTCTTCTGATGAGATGATATCTTCCTATCAAAGGATAGCAGGCTGATTATTTTATATTTTTCACTCAGAGCACGCTTCTACTCATGACAGGCTATGCGTTTAACAGCCTCCATGAGAGAAGCCGGGCAGGTGTCAACAGTAATTAGCCACTCATTGGTTGAGTTAATCCGTGTCACTAAGCACAGCACATAACCTTCATCAAACCTGTGGAGGGTCAACAGTCCACTGTGGGTTTCCAGTCATTTCTTTCTTCCTGTTTTGTCTCACTGTATTTCATGGTAATGTCATAAAACGCCACACTGAAACATGTTTTGGTCTCCTCCGCCCCGCCCCCAGCTGTAACTTATAACCTGTCTTTGAAACACAGACATTCAACAAACTTGTGGGAAAATTTAGCCAGTCCGTCTTTCACTTGAAGTTATCACAAATTCTGTCCGCCACAAAGGAAGGGAAGATGGTTGTCTGGGATATCCACTACCCGCCATCCTCCTCCTCCACGCCGGCCTTTCCCTTCATCAAGCCTTGTAAATTGGTCCATTTACAGAAGGAAGGCATCACCGTCCTCACCACAGTCGACAGGTAAGGAGCCTGATTAGAGGGGATCCCACTGCCGTCACACATGTATCAGAGGCCTCTGTTTTATAGACACATATATTTATAATTAAAATATAATTACATCATTTCCCCTCTAATCCCTCCCATGTACCCCATTGACCTTTCCCCAATTCAATACCTCTTTTTTAAAAAATTGTTGTTACATATTATACACTATATATATATAGTCCTAAATAAATAGATACAACCTACACTGTCTGTATAATGTTGCTTGTGTGTGTTACAATTTCAGGACTGAGCACTTGGTATTAGACAATTGAGGGGTTCTTCCCTGGGGAAGACAGTTCTTTGAGCTCTCAGCATTCCTCAGTGCCTGGGTTCTCTGTTAGACCCTTTTTGTAAACACAGTCACAGATACACAGAGTGTTTCTTGGGACAGTCAGAGCTAACGAGGAACATTAGTTGTCTCTCAGCAGGAGAACTGAGCTCTTTGAGGTTCAGGATAGGAACGGGTTCTTTTTGTATTAGTTTGTTCTTGAGACAGGGTTTCTCTGTAGCTTTAGAGCCTGTCCTGGAACTTGCTCTGTAGACCAGGCTGGCCCCGAACTCACAGAGATCTGCCTGCCTCTGCCTCCCAAGTGCCGGGATTAAAGGTGTGTGTCACCACCTGGCAGGAATAGGTTCTTGCTACACCCACTAACAGGATTTTATTTTAATATGTTTTCTTTTTTACTTTTTTTTTGGGGGGGGTAGGCAGGTTCTCATTGAGTAGCCCTGGAATTTACAGAGATCTGCCTTCTTTTGCCTCTTTGCCCTGAAGTGCTAGAATTAAAGGCATGCACCACCTTGCTAGACTTTGAAAAAACTCATGGGCATGCATTGTGTTTAAAAATTATTCTGTGTTAATGAAACAAAAAGCGATTCCTTTTCTTCTATGCCAATGTAACCTATTTTGTTCCCCAAAATTTTATGCTTTAAATTTAAGACAATACCTCAAGGGGCTGGAAGGGTGGTACAGCCGTTAAGAGCATTTGCTACTCTCGAAGAAGACCTGAGTTTGGGTCTTAGTACCCACATGGTGGCTCACAACCATCCATAACTTCATTTCCAGGGGATCCAACACCCTCTTGTGACCTCTGAGGGCACCAAGCATGCATGTGGCACACATACATACATGTAGGCAAGACACTCAATGCACAAAATATTTTTAAGACTAAAATAATTTTTAAAAAGAGGGCCCAGATAGCTTTATCATTTTGGTTGCAGAATAACATTTACACATTATGTAAAGATCAACTATTAGCTGAACTTTTTGTCTGTTTGACTATTTGAGACAGGGTCTCACTTTGTAGCCCAGGTCTGGCCATAAACTTGTGGTCTTCCTGCCTCAGTCTCCCGTTTGTTCAGGTTCTACCACCCCCAGCTTGCATATCATCGTAGAATCTGCAATTCTTGGGTTTGAGTAAATGCACTTGTCAGGGAAACCTGACAGTTTGAGTGTGATCCCTGGAACCCATGTATAGGGGGAAGGTGAGGACTGACTTGTGAAGTTGTCATTTGACCTGCATGCTGTGGCACTTGTGCTCATCCCCCCCGTCATTTTATGAAGACTTCATGTCGGCTGCCTGGCACACGGAGACCTAGGTAAAAAGCTGCCATCATTAGTGTGTTAGAAAAATCTCCAGAAGTGTGAGAAAATGTCTTATGCCAAGAACCTGCCCTATGGCTGGTGCCACTGTACAATCTGTCTTCTCTGCGCCCATTTCATATGCACTGCTTGGTGCAGGGGCGCTGGAGCTGGGCAGTCCTGGCATCCTGGTGTGCCTTTACAAAGAGGTATGCAATCACCATCTCAGAGGTGTGGAAAGATGTATTAGCTGGGGGTTAGAGCCTTTGACGACCAGGCCTGGGTAGCCCTCTCCCCATATTAAGTAACACCCCCCAAGTGGAGAAAAAGGGCTCCACAAACGCTGGGCCAGTTTTGCAGCTTCTCCCCAGCAGAGGGCAGTAGAAGCAGTCCTGGCCAATTACTCTGCCCACCTGCCTTGCTTATTAATCAGAAACCTCATTTAATCACTCTGCATAACATACTGAGAAAAATCACTCTTCTTCCCCACTGTGATTAGAATTTTTTAAGTCTTAAAAAATGAAAAGCTCTCTTGGGGTGGAGGGAGGACTAGAAATAAAAGCCATTTTGTCACGGGCACAGCCTTTGCTTGTGATGACTGAGTATGACTTCATGATGATTCTAATATGTCCACTGCTCAGCCTGTGTGATTGTCCTCCATTGTCATCTGTAATCATATGGCAGTGACTGTAAATCACTGCCACCCACTGTGGTAAGGGGCTGCTGACCTTGGAGCCAGAAGAGTGTTTGAGAGAATGTGACATTTACTGGAGGCACACCAGGCTCCTGTGTGCTCTAACTATGGAGACCAGCTAGGTGTAAGTGGTGTTTGTTATATACTTATAGCAAATGATTATTCATTATTTATCTGAGACTCAGATTAATAGGACCTGCTGTGCAGTTCATCCACTGTATCTGGCAACCCTAGGCTTTGAGCAAATCTCTAAACTTATCTTTAGCCTTGGAGATGCAGATGTAAAGTGGGGTGCCAGGAAAAGCAGCCTCATTGGTGACTGTTGAATGGAGCATAGCAACACTTGCAGTCCACAGCCTGACATGACCAGATGCTCAATAAACAGCTCTTGCCCTTAGAGCTATTTTATAGCCTGTTGTTTTTCTCTGTTCCAGCTACATCGTCACAGGTGACATTAAGGGTAGCATTAAGTTCTATGATCACAACCTGGCTATTGTCAACTGGTACAGTAACTTCAAACTAGGTGCCATAAGGACTCTGTCCTTTTCAAAGACCCCAGCAAGCTCACCTACAGAGAAGTCCAACCTCCCCACAGACTGCACTTTAAGTGGGGACCTTTTCGTCATCAGGTGAGTTGTTAAGTCCCTCAGATGCCAGGAAACTACGATGTCCCCTTGCACTTTGTATGCAGTGCAATGAATGTCCTTCTTTCCTAGGATATAGAATTGAGAGAGCTACCTTCCTAGTTTTACAGGTAGCTCTCCTTGGCTGATCACAATCAGTATTGGAATTTGTTTTTTGTTTTGTTTTTTGAGATACGGTTTCACAGTGTAGCCCTGACTATCCTGGAATGTACTCTGTAGACCAGGCTGGCTTTGAACTCACAGAGCTCTGGCTGCCTCTGCCTCTCAAGTGCTGGGATTAAAGGTGTGTACCATCACTACTCTCCTTGGTTTTATTTTGTTTTTGTTTTTTTGTTTTTTTTTCCAGACGTGGTTTCTCTTTGATGCCCTGGAGACTTTTTTTTTTTTTTTTTAGTTAGTTAAAGATTTTACTATTTATATTTAGAAGCCTGAATAACTAGAAGCTGGATGGCCTTTTTCCCTCATCTCCACTGCGCCCTGTTTCTGGAGCTGAGCTTGTCTAGCCACTGAGGTTAAAGGCATTGAGTAATTAATAGCCATAACATTTTAAGACTGAATTATCTGTGAGTCTGCTTAATTACCCTTGCAGTCTTTACAGGCACATCTGTATGTGTGCACCCAACTCCATATTTGCATACACAAATGAATATTTGCATGTGTAGATTAGCTAATTGTACAACCCACTGTCCATCTGCATACTTAATGACTCAATTTACATGTGGAAAAGTGGACTTTTTTCACTTGCAAATGGAGGCTGTTGGATGCTGGTGGTATATTTTTGGAGATGTTGGGTTAATAATGTCACCAAATTATAGACGACAAAGGCGATTCATGTGCAAGCAGAAGCAGAATGGCTGGTGTGGCCATTTCCTGAAAACACTGATCCCGTCGGCTCTCTCCTTGGCAAACAGAAATTTTCTTATCGGAACATTTGATGCCACCGTGTACCACATGACAGCAGATGGTACCACACTTGAGAAGCTCTTTGTGGAGCCCAGGGATGCCATTTATGCCATCTCCTGCCACCCATTCCAACCCCTCATCGCTGTTGGGAGTGTCTGTGGGATGATCAAGGTGTGGAACTATGAGAAGAAGGAGTATCTGTTCAGCAGGTTCTTTGAGAAGGGACTTGGAGTCCAGAGTCTGGCCTACAACCCAGAAGGTATGTGTACTCTCACAGGTTCTAGGACGCCCACAGCCTTTGCACACAACTATGCCTTAAGTGGCCTTCCCAAGGCATCTCTCTTCCAACTTTCCTTGTGGTGGTTTTTCCTTTTGCTCATTGCTGTCCAGCAAAGCCTGCCGCAGACTCACTCCTGGAATGAAGGAAGTCTTCTTCCCTCATTGTCCTCGGGCTTGTCTTTTCAGGAGCCCTGCTTGGAGCTGGATTCACCGAGGGGACAGTTTATATTCTGGATGCGATGTCGTTAGCAAATGAAAGTCCAGAGCCCTTCAGATATTCCAGAACTGGCATATCTCATGTCAGCTTCTCACACGATTCCAATTACATGGCAACTGCTGTGAGTTCTTCCCTCTGCTCAGGCCTCTTCCTTACCAACAAAGGGGTGAGGAGTCTGAAGAAAGTGGGGTTTGCATCCCAGTCAAGCTCTGATACACAGGGGAAGAGGAAAGGGTTGGTAACATAGAAGGACTTCTGCAGGCAGACAGGAGCAAGACCTCAGAACTGCCAGACTTGGATTCTGCAGTCCCAAGGGCTGGCTGCTCTGTTTCTGGGACCCCAAGACCCAGGGGCTGGCTGCCGTGTTTCTGGGACCCCATCTCTGTAGCCCATCCTTCGTCCTCATTCATTTGGTCAAGGCAGCCTCCTTACTGATCTCAGTATACTTCCTCAGGGTTTCAGGCTCTGTTCCTTCCCTCTGTGACTAGGGCATGTGATCTCAGGGAAGTGGTTCTGGCCATCCCTTGGTCTGCCTTTCTGTCAAGTGTGGCAGTGTGGTGGTGGTAGATTTGATGGTGAAGGTGGTGTAGTGGTGGTGAAGGTGGTGTAGTGGTGGTGTGAGGAGGAAGATCCTCATGGGGCACCTCCCTCTGTCATTCCGCCCACACACACACAGCCTGGCCTCTGGCTTGTACACATAGACCCAGTAAGGACCATAGCTGTCCCGGCACCCAGCATGGACATCAGCTACCTGGGGGTTGCTCTCTGCCACTCTGGCCTGTATCAGACCTTTTATTTTTTATAGCTAGACAAAGAATAGGGAGGACAAAGGCAGAAAGGCTCTCGGCTTTCCCTGGGGAACTGTGTTAAGAACATGGAAAGAGAGCGGGACTGGTGTCACACGGTGCTTCCTCCCCCATCCCCACTCCCCCCTTATTGTTTTTTTTTGGGGGGGGGGTTAAGACAGGGTTTCTCTGTGGCTTTGGAGGCTGTCCTGGAACTAGCTCTTATAGACCAGGCTGGTCTCGAACTCACAGAGATCTGCCTGCCTCTGCCTCCCAAGTGCTGGGATTAAAGGCATGCGCCACCACCACCTGGCTCTTCTTCCCCTTTTACCTTTACCCACACACCAATAACCTCAGTCTTCTGGTCTGTAGAATGGGCACCACTTTTCCTACTTGTTCTGCTGTGTTAAGATTTACTTGGATAAGATATTCTGCAGGCCAACAAGTCTGGAAACCAGGATTAGAGGAGTCTTAGATCTAAAGTCAAGGAACAACTTCTGATCTTGCTCCTTTAGGATGTCAGTTTCACCGTGGCTGTGTATATGATGGTGGTCAAAAATGGACAGAGGGTCTGGGAATACATGGCGAGACTCCGCTCTCATCGTAACGCCATTCGAAGCCTCCTGTTCGGGGTTCACCTGGACAGCAACGAGCCCAGGCTGCTGAGCCTTGGGAAAGACAGGTTCCTGGTGAGCGTCCAGTTTGGTTTGCTGATCACCAGTGCCATGCCTCCACCCCCTACTCCCATCCTGCCTATTCCATCCCTGGCATCTTATGCAGCCCCTGCCTGTAACATGTCGAGAAAAATGACTGTATGGTCAAGTATCACAGACCTCTCCAAGCTCATAACCTAAAGCAGGGATTTCTGGCAGGTGGGCATCAGGGAGGGTGTGTCCCACACAGGACAGAAGACACAACTACCTTCACCTCCCAGAGAGCGCTGGGAAAGCTGACACTTAGTGATACCTCCTCAGCATCCAGAGGTCAGGGTGTGACTGACTTATTGGAAGGGAGACGGGCAGACACAGCTAGGCATCCCTGTTTGCTTTCCATTGCTGTGATAAAAACACTGAGCAAAACCAACTTGGGGAAGGAAAGAGTTTACGTGACTTATAGCTCAGGGTTCCTCATTCAGGGAAGCTGATGCAGGAACTAAAGCAGAGACCACGGGGGAGTGCTGTTTTACTGACTTGCTTTCCATGGTTTGCTCAGCTACTTTCTCATGCATCCCAGGCCTCCTGGCCCATGGTCATGGCCTCAGGTCAATCTGATGGAGGCAATTCCTCAAGTGAGGGTCCCTCTGCCCAGGTGAACTATTTTGTATCTACCTGACAAAAACTAAGGAGAGCAGTAGGAACAGTGGGTGATCTTATCGGGTCCACTCTTCCACCTGCCCCTGCATCTATCACCCCACCCTCCTTCCATCTCCTTTCTCTAGGCCTGCCTGCCTTCTTCTCTTTATTTCATCGGTACCTTCGGGGCCAGTTTGAGCAGCTGCTAATCTGGGACCATTAAGTGCTGAGATTTAGGCCTGAATTAGTTCCTAAAATAATGGAAAGGGGTGTGACAAGTTAATCCATTGGCTTACACTTAAGTTTTCACTCCACCACTTCTTTGGCTGTGTGTCCCTGGGCAGGCCACTCTGAATGTCTCTGGCATGTCTCTACTCATGGACCTGTGTGCAAAGAGACACAGCACTGCAGGGACTTGGGGGGGGGGGGTCCACAGGAGTGATGGTTTAGAAGGTGCTGAGCCCACCAACCTGCTCACTGTGAGTGCTTCATGAAGGTAGCACACGGGAGTCAGGGAACTTCCCTTAAAGACCCAGCTGGTTACCATATCATACCATACATACCCAAGACTTGAAGCTTCTCAGCCAAGATTTCCTCCAGCTGGGTCAGTAGCTCTCAACCTGTGGGTTGCAACCCGTTTGGGGTGTTGAATGGCCCTTTCACAGGGGTCGCTTAAGACCATTGGAAAACACATATTTGCATTATGATTCATAACAGTAGCAAAATTACAGCTATGATGGGCTGGAGGGATAGCTCAGCCATTAAAGTCAAGGCTCACAACCAAAATCACAGCTATGATGTAGCAACAAAACTAGTTTTATGGTCGGGGGTCAGCACAATATGAATAACTGTATTAAAGAGTCACAGCATTAGGAAGGTTGAGAACCACTAAGCTGGGTCATCATGCACACCCTGTGCTCTTCTGCAGATAGAGTATAATCTTACCAAGAGCTACAAAGACCACCTGGCAGTCCTGGACATTCATCGGACGGACCAGGGGAGCTTCCCCACTTGCATGATCTGGTACCCGCCGCTCACCAAGGAGCTCTTCCTTCTCATCTGCAACAGCTGCTACAAGGTGAAGCTCTTCAATTCCAACACGAAGATGTGCAGGTGAGCTTAGGGCATCCCACTAATGTGCGGTTACCCCCCATTTCTCAGCCCCAGCTGGTAATAGCTCATTGGTAGCATCACCCCTTTCCCTTCTTAGAGAGAGAAACTGAGTTTACAGATAATGTAAGTCAGGTTCACCTAAAAGCATATAACGGGGCCATGTCTGAGGAAGGATGCCAGCCTGGGGTCCTTGCTTTAAGACCAGGTACCAGGGAGGTAAGGGACCCAGAGCTGGGTGCCCATGTATCTCTGAAGGACACAGCCCTGGAATCTGGAAGTCACTGGTGTCCCAAAACCAGCCATCCTTTTCCATGTGGGAGAGAAAACAAAACAAAACAAAACAAAACAAAACAAAAACACCAAAAAACCCAAACCCAAACCAACCATTTGGCAAAACATGCCAATTGTTTGATTTTCATTGTTTTTTTTTATGTTGAGAGAGGGTCTCACTCTGTAGTTCTGGCCTGTACCTCCTGAGTCCTGGGATCACAGGTGTGAGTACCACACCCAGCATGTTTGATTTTTCTCACGTGACTTCTCAAAGGAACATTCATTTGTTCATTGCTTACATGGGCTGGGTAGTGTTCAGGGTGGTGAAGGTGGCTACAAACCGCTATGGGGGGACACTTCAGTTGCGGGGGACTACACACTACTGAGTAGGTGTGGGTGGCAGTGGTGTGCATAATGACTGGATGGGCTGCTGTCTTCAAGAGTACCAGGGTGATGGGGCAGGGCTTGTCTTAGGGAAACAGGAGTAAGTTGGGACATGGGACATTCTGAGGAAAGCCCACAGACAGCATCTGCAAGAACAAGGTGCTTGGGGGCCAAAAAGTTCTTAGCAAGTGGCTTGGTTGGGGTGGGATTGGGGAAGGGTGAGTGGAGAAGGTGGGGAGGAAAACCCACAGGGTGACTGACTGAGGGGTCAGCAAGGGTAGGAGGCTGCTCTGTGGCCTGAAGGTGGCAGGGGTGGGTCAGACGCTGGGTGCATCCGTGTTCGCTGAGAGCAAAGGGTAAGTGAGAAAGCGTGGACTTTCTGAGGCCCATGTAGCCAGAAAAATGGAGTTAACCTTGAACGGCTGGGGTGCGGACGTTCCCCAGTACATCCCAGTAAATTCCAAGTTTGGACGAGGCAAGTTGGAGATGTCACCACATGTGAGATCACCGAGTTAGACTCTTGATTCTGGGTAGTGGCCGAACTGGAGTCCAGAGCAGAGAGTGTTCAAGCCGTGAGGCAGGAGACCTTGGAGGGGAAAGGTAGATGGAGGTTGCAGACCACACCCAAGGCACCCACGGCTGCATTTGAGAGGTGCATCTTCCTCCCTGCAGAGGTGTCCTGTTGGGTGTGGCCATAGGTTCTGCAAGACCTGTGGGTCCCAGGTTTCCCTCACCTTGGATCCTGCCCTTGTGTGTTGTCCCTGTAACGGGACCACTGCCTTCAGCTTCCCAGAGCCTTGCAAAGTACTGTCCCTCTGAGGTTTGGCGGCGTCATAATTTCTGCACAACTATTAGGCAGACCAAGACTCAGCCCTTGGCTCTTGCTCTGACTCCGCCCTCTACTAGGGACTGCTCAGTGTTAAACCCTATGGGGAGCGAGCCTCTCTGTCAGGGATTGACTGCCAGTGGATATGGCTGGAAGATGGAGGTAGAAGGGATGTCTGATGTGCCCAGGCTGCTGGAGAAAGAGCAGAGTTTTAATTGGTTGATGGTTTTATTTTGGGTCTTGCTATGTAGCCCAGGTACTGGGATTGCAACCATGTGCCAGGATCACAGGCATGTGCCACCATGCCTGGCCACATTCATACCTTGAAGTGCATCTCAGATGGGATTTCCAAAGCCCCAGGACACACCCCTACCCCAAGATTCTCTTCCCCTTTGGTTTGTTTTTGTTTTGTTTTTCTTTTTGAGATGTTGTGTCATTCTGTGTCTCAACCTGGCTTTAAACTTACAGTAAGCCTCCTGCCTCAACCTCTCAAGTGCTGGGATTATTCCTGCCCACTGCCCCCAAACCAAGAACAGTTCTTTCCCAGAAGGCAGAAGGAAAAATGACAGAATCTTTACATCGTAGGACAGAAAACAGAATCTGTCTCAATGTTTAGAATCCTCAAGAGAATGGGTAATGAGTTTCAGCATGCTCTTCATGCCCTCTCTTTAGTGAACACACACTTCTGAGCAGAGAGCACCCCTGGAAACTGCATTCAGGGTAGGAGACAGCTTGCCTCAGGCTTGCAGCTCCTAACAGCAGTTGATCCCCAGTGAAGACAGTCAAAGGTGCTGTGGTGTGTGTGTGTGTGTGTGTGTGTGTGTGTGTGTGTGTGTGTGTGTGTGTGTGTGTATGGTGTGTGTGTGTGT